CCTGACACTCGGCAGGTGACACCGACCTGTCTCCCTCCTGCTGTGCACTCCGTAAGAGCCGGGACGAGCCTGTCTTTTTTATTTTATTTTTTTGCATCGTATTCAGTAGGCACCTAAGACTTCATTCAGACAATGACTGCATACAACATGCAGAAAGTGGAATGACTGGTGATATATACAGATTTTTTATTTTTTTAGTACGGTGTACTGTACTAAACATACTGTCATCGTGGCCCTGTGGATCTTACATTGGGCCGGGAGAGACAGAAAGTAAAGTAGAAAAAAAATGTAGAATGAAAACGTTGATAGGCGAGTAATAAATGCTACAGAGAAAAAGCAGGGAGGGGAGGTACTGAAGTAAGTCTGTTTGCTTCTCTCGTCTCCGGCCTTCACCCCAGAAAGAAACTATTACAATACGTCTTGGCAAGTGTTACCATATCCTGGCTGAGAGTGTTGGCTGGAGGCCTCATAGCCCTTTGATGAGATGACAGTTTGGGGGAGAGGCAGGGCCACTGTCTGGAAACGCCTGACACTTTTCATGAATGAAAGAATAAAGTTACTTAACGGGAAGGTTAGTCAGGGTATTCCAGGCGCAGAGGGGTTGAATCTGTTATCCCGTAGGAACCTTCAGGTAATTGATTAGTAGGGAGTTAGGATAGATATATAGATAGAGGAATTTAGAAGATGAGTTTGAAGAGAGATAAACATAATCCAGATCTCCTGTGCCACAGCAAGGACTTCAGATGACCTTTAAAGGATTAGATAGATAGATAGATAGATAGATAGATAAAATAAAAACAAAAAAATAAAATAAATAAAGGATTTAAGGGAGAGGGACCTAAGCAGGGTTGCATTTTGGGTGTGTCTTCTCAGCTGCTGGTACTGGGTAAAACGGTGGGAGTGAAGAGCTTCGAAATAAATCTCCCATGAGAGGGCAGGAGGTTATTGCAGCCCTGTTTAAAAGTGTTGACCCCTGCCCTATCTGGTTTGGCTCAGTGGATAGAGCGTTGGCCTGCGGACTGAAGGACCCCAGGTTCGATTCCAGTCAAGGGCACATGCTCAGGTTGTTGGCTCAATCCCCAGTGGGGGGCGTGCAGGAGCCAGCCAATCAATGATTCACTCTCATCATTGATGTTTTAATCTCTCCCCCTCTCCCTTCCTCTCTGAAATCAATAAAAAAAAAAGTATTAAAAAAAAGTGTTGACCCCTCCCCCCCCAAAAAAAGTGGATTTTCCATGTTTATCTGATATAGATGTCATTACCATCTTTTAAAATAGTCTTCAGAAGATGAAATATTTTAAATTATCTTTCCTATAACATTGCTTCTTTGACCAGTAATAGTAAAATGCAGTGTTTTATTGTTTTAGAGAAGAAGCTCTTGGAGAAACTACCCAAGTTTATTGGAAAACTGGCAATAATGCTGTTTATCAAGTGGATGGGAGTAAATCCTTTAATTTTGGTAAGCTTATGCTAGCATCAAAAGCTAACCTGTTATTCTGTTCCTGTTAAGAGTACAAATTAAAAAGCCCTCGCCGGTTTGGCACAGACTCTCAGACGGAAGGGTCTCCCGTTGGTTTGATTCCGGTCAGGGGCATGTTCCTCAGTTGCAGGCTGGATCCCCAGCCCTGGTCAAGGCTTGTGCGGAGGCAACCAATCGATGTGGTTCGCTCACATTGATGTTTCTCTCTGTCTCTCCCTCTCCCTTCCACTCTCTCTAAAAACCAATGGAAAGCCCTGGCTGGTTTGGATCAGTGGATAGAGCGTCGGCCTGTGGACTGAAGGGTCCCGGGTTCGATTCCCGTCAGGGCACATGCCTGAGTTGCAGGCTCGATCCCCCGTACTGGGTATTCAGGAAGCAGCTGATCAGTGATTCTCTCATCATTGATGTTTCTATCTCTCCCTCTTCCTTCCTCTCTGAAATCAATAAGAATATATATATATTTTTTTAAATGGAAAAAATATCGTAGGGTGAGGATTAACAACAATAACAAAAAGAGTACAAAGGCTTGTGAATAATACTGGATTTGTCATTAAAGAAGAGACCAAGCCTTTTGGTAACTGCTTCAGTGGGTACCTTAAAAAAATTGTTCATCCATGTATGAAAGGTAAGATAATAAATTGATATTTAAAACAGTCATAGTCAGAGTGTCTTATGACTAAAACTGTCATTTTCCCCTCTTATTTATTAGTGTATTTATGGCCTAAAACTTCGTAAGCCTAAAATGTGTCACTTAATGTGAAGTCATCTTTAAGATCATCTTTTCAATTTAGTATTTTTTCCACAATTATTTCCAAGAAATCTCTTTAAACAATAAGTAGGGAAGATATCCGTTCTTTGCTGAAATACGGAAAGGACTCACCCCTATTTTTATGGAGCTTATCATGTGTCAGAAGGGACACCTTAATAAGTAATTACACTTATTATGACAAGCTTTGTGGAAGCTTATAGTGGGGATCTAGCTAGGTGTCTGAAATGGTACCACTTAAACTGGGACCTGCAGGATGAGGGAGAGCTACCTAGGACAAAGGGACTTAAAGGCCCTAAAGCAAGGGTAGGGAACATAGAGGCCCGTGAAACCATTTGGTCTGGCCTTGCCAAGGCACTAGGGTAAGCTAATTTAAGCAAATGTAGCAGGCTACTTTTTAAATTGGTAATTTTGTATGGCCCGAGAATGATGTTATAAATATCCCAATGGCCCTTGGCAGAAAAGTGGTTCCCCACCCCTGCCCTAAAGGTTGACTAGACTGATTTGTTGTATTGATTTAATATGTATATAGTGTTGCCAGTGTGTCAAACACTGTTCTAAGCTCTTCATAATCTTAACTCATTTGATCCTCCACCAAGCCTGTGTAGTAGATACTATGTGATAGGTACCTTCCCATTTTAGAACAGGACTAAAACAGAGGCTCAGAGTCACACAGCCAGCAAGGGGAAGTCAGGCTCCAGATCTGTGTCCTAGCCACTTAGGCACCAAAGAGCGACAGCGAAGTGTTCTCAACAACCTTAGGAATGAGTGTCAAAGCAGTGTTAATGTAGAAAGCCAACATATAAGATCTGGAGCCAGGATGTACAGTAGAGAAAATGATTCCTGGTAAAGGACTATTTGAGGGGATTAACATAATTTTTTAAAAGGTAAAGCAATATATGCCAGAGATTATAAAACCAAAAGCAATGAATGCGAAAGCATTTCGACTCAGGTACTACAGATTCTCGGAAGCCGTATATGCCCATTGAGGATTTTGACTCATTCACCTATCTGAAGCAGATGGCATTAAGATTTGAATCATCCGGTCATCTCTCCTTGCTCAGAAATTATGATGCCTAAGCAGTCTTTGGATGGAACTTTGGTTTTCCATATAGTTCTGCCAACAGGGTAGATATATGGGCGTGGTGCAAGCAGTGTGATCACTGAATTTCTCATTGTGGGTCAACCCATTTCCCTCCTGATGCACAAATTAATTGCTTGTGAGCTTTTTAATGTGAGGCTACCACTGCAAGAGTGGTCCATTTTTAATGTGCTAACAAAAGCAGAAAACCACTTCCTAGACTAGTGAATTCATCAGGGCAAATGCAGTCCTAAACCTAGTCTTTGGCAACCAGCAAACTGGGCATTCCCTCTAAAGTCAGCTTTTTTTCAGTACTTTTCTTTCAAATGTTTGCATTTGGTTTAGTTAGGGCTAGTCCTTTTTGCTAGATATTCTAAACATTGAAATTTCCCAAAGAATAGTAATAGTTCTCATTTCCTAAGTATTAACCTAATGTTTAGAATAATTCTGTGAGGAAGATAATATAGTGTATTGGTTTAACAAATTAGGGAACTGAGGCACAGAGATATCAACCACCTTGCCCAAAGTCACACAGCTAGTAAGTCTCAGAACCAGGATTTGCAGACAATCTATTTCAAGACTCCATATTTAGCCACTATGCCCTACTGCCTCTTGAAAGTACATAGCATAGATGACGTTTTCTTGGGTGGGTTTTTTGTTTGTTTGGACGGGGTTTAGGTGTGAGGACCAACACATTTTACCTTATAGAAAAGTATATTTTCAGAGGACCAAAAAGTTGAAGAAAATATAGTCTTCAATATTTTATACTATACTAGAGGCCTGATGCACGAAATTCGTGCAAGAGTAGGCCCTCCTTCCCCCAGCTGCCAGCACCGGCTTCCCTTTGGTACCCAGGACCCGGGCTTCCCTCGCAGCCTTGACTTCATCCAGAAGGACGTGCGGTCTAATTAGCATATTACGTTTTTATTATTATAGATCAGTGGTTCCCAAACTTATTTGGCCTACCGCCCCCTTTCCAGAAAAAATATTACTCAGCCCCTGGAAATTAATTTTTTTTAAATTTTAATAGCAGTTACTCATCGCCCCCAAATGCACCTGTGGCCATCACCGCCCCCCTGGATCGCTGCAGCGCCTACCAGGGGTGGTAGCGCCTACTTTGGGAATCACTGTTATAGATTCTGACAATTTTATTTCTTTGAGCAACTACTAATTAAGAAGAAAACACAGTTTGTTTGGTTTAACTCATGTGTTGTTGTTTTTTAGATCGTGTCTTTGATAGTAATGAAACCACTAAAGATGTTTACGAAGAAATAGCAGTGCCCATCATAGATTCTGCCATACAAGGCTATAATGGTTTGTATTCATTGCAGAAACATTTTAGTCTGGGCTGTCTGTTCAACAAATATTGATAGTTTTATACTCTGTAATCTCTCTCTTTTTTTAATCTTTGTGTGTGTTTTGTTTTTGCAGGTACTATATTTGCCTATGGGCAGACTGCTTCGGGAAAAACATTTACTATGATGGGTTCAGGAGATTATTTGGGAGTAATACCCAGGGCAATTCATGACATTTTCCATAAAATTGAGAAGGTAAATAACTTAGCTAAATTTCTAGTACAGACAGGTAAAAGTAGTAATAATAGGATAGCAACTTCAGTGTTCTCTTTTAATGATGAAGGAAGTAGATTTACAGTTATCTCTTGATTATCTGTGGGGAGAGAAGAAAGGCATGGCACAGATTTACTTCTTTTCCACAAACTTACTTCAGAGCTTAAAGTTCTTCATTTTTTGCTTGAAATAGTAATACTCCGACCACAAAATGGGCATTAAGGAACAGGAAAGTCTTATCAGAATGGATAACTCCTCACTGCCTTTGTTTAACTGTCATTGATTACCAAGGAGCAGTAAAAATAGATGTAGATAAAAGACAAGGGCAGCAGAGGGCCAGATAAGGCAGCCTAATTAGTTAAGAGTTGATTGCATTTAAATTACTTATTATTATTTTAATGATTTTTAATGTTTTTATTTGAACATCTGTGGGTATGGTTTTATTTTGAACTTATAGATTTGGACTGGGCACTCTTCTAATTCTATGATACTATATTTTTCTGAAACAGTGCTTTTGCTTTTATAGTTTTGTGTTTATCATTATTAATATAGAACCATAAGGGGATTTTTAGGGGTTTTGTTTGTTTGTTTGTTTTAAGGAGATAGTTTTTCAAACAATATTTTAATATTTAATATTAACACATAAACATTTAGTATTAGGTTTTCCTAAATGGATGATTAATGTTTTGTTGTTGTTTTATCTTCTAGTTTCCTGATAGGGAATTTCTCTTGCGTGTGTCTTACATGGAAATATATAATGAAACCATTACAGACTTACTTTGTGACACTCGAAAAATGAAGCCTTTAATAATTCGGGAAGACTTCAATGTGAGTAGCAGAGTTAACAAAGTAGCTCAAAAAAGAGACTTATTTATTGCTATTGTTGTTCTTGAACATTTACCTTTAATTTCTATATTTTTAAGTGCTGTATCTATGGTTTATTTTTTCTTAAGCGATTATAAAGATCCCTTTTTAAGCAATACATAGTAGGCAAAAGTAGGTTTACAGTTGTAACATCTATATAATAAAAGGTTAATATGCAAATGACTGAACAGCGGAATGACCGGAGGCTATGACGCACACTGACCACCAGGGGGCAGATGCTCAATGCAAGAGTGCCACTCAGCCAGAAGCCCTGAGCCGGGCTCGCGGCTGGTGAGCGCAGCAGTGGTGGCAGGAGCCTTTCCTGCCTTCGTGACAGCTCTAAGGATATCCGCTCCTCATGGAGCGGGCCGAAGCTGTCAGTCGGACATCCCCCAAGGGCTCCCGGACTGGGAGAGAGCACAGACTGGGCTGAGGGCGCCCCACCACCACCCGCCCTGAGTGTATGAATTTCTTGTTCCAGGCCTCTAGTAATACAATAATACAAGAATAAATTCTAAAAAAAATAAATAAATTTTGTATTTTGTATACTCACAACTATACACCTACTTTTGCCCACCCCTATATGTGTAGTTTTTAAATATTGACAGCTGTATATTGGTGTAAGTGCCTAAAAAGAGCAAGATGGAAGTTTCAGGTTAGAATTTGGTGTGCTTTGATATAGGAAGTAAATTGTAAATATCATAAGTTTACTTGTTATTTTCATACTATAGTTTTCATTTTGCATTTTGACTTCTAAAAATGTATTCTATCATAGTTCGCACCTTCTTTTTGATATGCAAACTTTTAAGTGTTTTCTATTTCTTTACCCTTCCCATAATTAAACTTGTTTCAGAGGAATGTGTATGTATCTGACCTCACAGAAGAAGTTGTTTCTACATCAGAAATGGCTTTGAAGTGGATCAGAAAGGGAGAAAGTAAGACTTTATTCTGTATTTCTTCAAGGCATTGTAAAAACTATTCAATTGAATGCATTTAGGCTTCAAGTCACACTTTCAGTTTTAAGCTAAAATAAAAGTTAATTTTTAAAAATTTTGACATACACTGCTGAAATATGACTCATTTTTTACAGAGAATAGACATTATGGAATTACAAAAATGAATCAAAGAAGCAGTCGCTCTCATACCATTTTTAGGATGGTAGGTAATTCTCTATTTGGTCTTTCCAGTTAAGAATGCACTAAGTTTTCTACAAGTTTCCTTTTCCTTCTAGATTTTGGAAAGTAGAGAGAAAGGTGAACCTTCTAATTGTGAAGGATCTGTCAAGGTGTCCCACTTGGTGAGTATTGATAAACCATGATAATGTACCTTATAGGCCAAAGCAAAATTGGACTCAGTTGTGGGTTGTTTGGTTTCATAAGGACTGTTAACTGAACTAAATAGAACCATCTATAAATGGTATTTTAACTAGCGACATATGTAGCATAAAATTACTAGCTAAAATGTAGAAAGAATTTAGAGGATCTTTCTTCCTATTATGTATGGCTACCATCTCCTAAAATTTAGATGTTAGGACTGTAGGATTTGAGGCTTTCTATGACAGTAATGAAGGGGGGTTTGTTTGTTTTTTTGTTTGGGTTTTTTTTGTTTGTTTTTTTGTTTATTTGTTTTTCATACACATTTAAGAGTTAACGTAATTTTGGAATGGGTCAGTGTCTTTGTTTTTTGGCTTTTTAGTCTCATCCAATAGAATTAAGACTTGTGCGATAAACAAAAACTTAAGTGGGATGGATTAAAAGTAAATCACATTCAAGTTCATTCTTAAGTAAATAAATAAATATATTTTATATTATAAACACAGTGTTTTAGACTGTAAATCCCTGGAAAGTAAGAGTGATATCTTATTCATCTTGTAGTCCCAACACTTGTACATAGTTTATGTTTGTTCATTTTTAGATTTTGAAAAATCAGTCTTAATTAAATCTAATTCTAGTTTACTTACTTTACCATACAAGTGCAAAGTTTATTTTAGTAAACTAGTCTTGTTTTAATTTAACAGCAAAAAACCTAACTTCTGTTTTGTTTTCCAAACCTGGCCTGTGATATATCACTACATTTCCAACTTTTCTCTTAATTTAGCTTTAACACTCTTGACATGGTCAGTGATCCATTTGATGACTTTTCTCATGTTGTTTGATGCTCTCATTTAGGGACAACAGGTCCCATCTGATCCAACAACCTTCCAGCCTCTCACTCTTAAGTATCTTCTTGGGAAGAAGTCTTCCCCAAAGGATCATTTTCTGACTCTTTGTAGGTGGCCTTTGAGCATTTCCTAGCCTTTCTGTGATAAGATCCAGGTTCTCTTAGGTGTGCGTCTTCTCTATTCCCCTGTGTGGCCTCTTTTCTCCTACCCTTCTAACAAAAACACAGGCTGTTCTGTGGCCTTTCTTACTTCCCATGTATGTTCTCAGACATTGTTATCACTTCTGTGTTAATGATGGCCAAATGTTTATTTTATCTAGAGTCTCTGAGTTCTAATACATGTCTTCCTAATGATTATTATAATCGTACTAGGGGCCCAGTGCACAAATTCGTGCACCTTGAAAGGAATTGTGGGCTGCGAGGCTGCGGAGGGCACAGGGGCGGGTCTCAGCCCATCCTCCGTGCCCCCTCCCGGCCCCTCCTGCCGCAGCGGCCCCCCAGTCCCCTGTCTGCCGAAAGTCCTGCTCCCATTGCTGCCGCTCCCACACACTGACAGCACCTGTCCCACTCACAACTGCTGACAGTGTGGAAAGAGCAGGAGCGGGTGCGAGCAGGACCAGCACCGTCAGTGTGTGTGAGCAGCAGCTGCCGATCCAATCACCCCTCAGGAGCAGGGGGAGGTGGAGAAGCCCTGAGGGGCAATCAGGCCAGCAGCCACCACTTGCACCTGCTGACGGCGCCAAGCAATTGGGACCGGTGCTGAACACCAGCAGTGGGTGTGACAGGGACCGGCGCCAGCAGCAGGTGCAAGTACCAGCGGGACCGTGGCACAGGCAGGATCAAAGAAATTTCAGTAACCACCACAGGCTCTCCCTGATGACAGCCACCGGCGCCCTGCTTTGGTCTGGCACCCCTGCTCACCTGTTCCATCATCCGGCCGCAGCCAACGCCTGCCATGTTCCACGCTCTGCCGCTTGCTGCCAACACCCACCATGTTCCGTGTGCGCCCCCTGGTGGTCAGCGTACATCATAGCAACTGGTTATTTGGTTCCGCTATTTGGTCTATTTGCATATTAACCTTTTATTATTATCAGATGTCCCATTCTTGTCTCAAACTTCAGTGTGTCTAAAACCAAATTAATTTATTCCTATTGCAATGAATATTCCTTTTTTCCAGTTGTACCAGCATTATTCTGGTCCCCTCGGCTAAAAACCCAAGTCATTTTGGCTCTCTTTCTGCCTTCCCTTTTATCCAGTTTTAACCATTTCTTACTGATTTCATCTTTCAACATTTCTCCTTGGTGTCATACTTATTTAGGTACTCATCTCTCTTAATTTGCTACATCATTCTCCTGGACCTGGCTTCCATGACTTTGATCAAGTACTGATCTTGTTGTGTCTCTCCCATAGTCAAGATCTGGCCACTCTTGGCCCATGTAACTTTACTTCCTTCTACTCCACACGAGCTCCTCTCTTATAGATTCTTCATATCTTCGAATACTAATGCTCATTCCCATCTTATACCTTAATTCATGCTGCCTTCATCACCACGTTGCCCTGCTATTATGTATCAGGGTTATCTGTAATAGATACTCTACAAAAAAGATTAGACTTCTCTGAGTATTTTAGAGAAAGAAGTATCTGAGATAGAACTACAAAGTTGGTACAGAATTACCTGCCATTCCTGCAAGTCTCCACAGAGAAACAATTTAAATCTCTGACTTTAAATGCATTAAGAATATTTACTGAGCCTTTACCATGTTGTGAGCATAGTACTGGGCTCTGGAGTTTAAAAGAATAAAGAAAACATCCCTCCACTACTTACTGTCTCCACTGCTACCTGCCTAGCTCAAGCCACCATTGTCTCACACTAACATTCCTCTCTGGGCTCCCTGCTGCCTCTCTTGCCCCTCCCCAACCCTTTCTCCACCTAGGGTTTCACAGTTGATCCTTCAGAAAGTTAAATCAAGACATGTTGCTCTTGCTTAAAGCCCTCTCATGATTTCCCCTTGCACTTAGGAAATCCAGAGTCCTTACCCTATCTTATCCTATCTTTCACTCACTCTGCCAGTGCTGCCCTTTCTATGTTTTGAATGCACTAAGCTTGTTATTGCTTTGTGACTGGGTGTACAGTCTATTCTTTATTCTTAAATACAGTTCCCTTGGTCTTTGCATGACTGGCTCCCTCTTCTCTGTCATTTCTGATCTTAGTCTAATGCAAGGGTGGGGAATGTCCACCCTGCGGGCTGCATATTTAGTCTGGCCCTGCCAAGATAACCACTGGCGGGACTGGAAATTCAATAAATCTATGAGCTTTATTCATAGCAACATAAATTTATATTACCTGAATGATATTAAGCAAATGACAGTATAAATGTCCAAATGGCCCTTGGCAGAAAAAAGGTTCCCCACCCCTGGTTTAATGGAAGGCCTTCCCCAACCACCCAATCCAAAGAACTTTGTCCCTTCCTCGTCTCTCTTCCAGCACTCTTTAAATTATCTATATTACACTTACATGATACGTTTCTTATCTGTTTGTCTTTTTCTCTCTTCTCACCAACTTCCTCCTCTTCTCATCCCACCCCATTTAGAATATAAGCTCTGAGAGCAGGGGCTTTTATTTGTCCGGTTCACGTTGTATTCCTAGTACCTAACAAACTGCCTGCAGCATGACAGGCAGTCACTTTGTTCAACAACATTTTTGAAATGAAAGAGGGGCCTGTGCTTTTAAAGATGCTACAATGTGTTGGGAGATACAAATGACTAGCTCAGCACTATAAGAATAAGTCATTATCTATAAACACCTCTCTGAACACAGTTGAAAATCAATTCATTCAAGGTGTGGGAGATGAAGGGTAAATTCGGCAAAACTACATTTAAGAGGTAACATTTGCCTTTGGTCCTGAATAATGAGTAAGGGCATACTAGAACATTCAAACTAACTAAAAGGGAGTGGCAAAAGATAGCACTTGCAAGTGTAGAAGCACATGAGGTGTGCAGGGCATAGTGCGTATAGTTCAATTTAGTGAGTAGTTAAGAGTAAGCAATGGATAGATATAATGTTGGGGCAACACAAGTGCCAGATTGTAAAGAATCATAATCACCATAGTTGGGTTTTGAACTTTGTGTAGGAATAGAAAACCTATTCTGTCAGCATTATGAAGGATACAGTATAGTTAAGGAACACGGTGTAGATGACTCAGGAAAGAGAAGGCCTAGACAGTGGGGTGAGAGACAGCGGTAGAAGAGTGGTGTTCAGATAAACCATGCATTAAAAACGTGCTTTCAGTTTGGATTTCATTATTTCAGGTTATCCTTCCTAAAGGTTTCTTTCCATCTATGTTTCAGAATTTGGTTGATCTTGCAGGCAGTGAAAGAGCTGCTCAAACAGGTGCTGAAGGTAATGAAAACTCATGCAGTGTTGGTCTGAATGTTTTCCTGTTTTACAGAATAAAAAGTGCTAGCATACATTTTAGAAACTAATAACGTAATGGCAATAATAATTTTGTGATAAAGGTCTTTAATGCAAAAATCAGCTTCTGTATCTAGCTAGTTACTTCAGGCTACTGTAGCATCAATTAAAAAACTAAAACTATGCAGATGTTAGGATTGTATAGCTGGAAAGCTGCTGAGAGTACCATGAAAACCAAATTGTCATAATCAATAAAGAAATTCAGAAAGGTAGTGGGGTACAAAATTAATATGCTGACATTAATAACTCTCATGATACAAACAACAGCCAGTTAGAATATTAAGCATACGAAAGACTCTATTTACAGCAATGACTTAAAGGATGTAATACCTAGGATGAAACTCAACAAAAATTTCACAAGACCAGCATAAAGAAAACTTTAAAACAGACCTGAAGAACATAACCATATACTTACACAAATGGGTGAGCTTACTTAGATGGGAAGGTTCACAATCAAAAGACGTCAAGCCTCTCTACATTAATTTCCTTCAGCCTGACATAGACACACTCAGCTGAGGGTGGCCTTTATCCACCAAACCATGAATTCTCAGACCTGTAAATAAGAAATAAATGCTTGTTTTAAGCTGGCTTGTTAAGCAGCAATATTATAGTCACAGGTGAATAATGTACCTGAAATAACAGTTGCCAAATGAAAAAAAGCAAAGTGCAGAAGTAGTGTATTTAATATACTATTATTACTGTAAAAAAGAAAGGGGAGAAATTAATATGTATGGACTTGTATTTCTAAAAATCTCTAGAAAAATAAACTAATAAAAATGGTTTGCTGGAATAGAAACAGGAATAGGTTGAATGAAGTATAAAAGTGAGTTTTTTCAATGTACTTTTTTTTTAATGTTTGAGTTATTTGAGCATATTAACAATTTTACAATGAAAACCTTTTTGGTTGTGAGCCTATAGGTACTAACTTGATTGTATGTCTATAGTTGCTTGTGAGGTTTGAAAAAAATAGATTTTAACTGAGGGGTCAGAGGCTCTTTTGGGAAATGGGTTTTTCCTCCTTCTGATTCTTAGTCATTTTTCTTTTGCTAGTTCCCTCAGGTGACAAGTTTGCTGATTCATTCAATAGGTGGGAGGAATAGGGAGAGGGCTCCTTCTACCAGTGGTATAAAAGGTGGGCTCAGATCTAGTGCAAAGCATAGACATCAGCATCTGACCCTTTTACTTCTAATTTGTCTTATAACTTACTGGTAAATAAGTTCATCATGTAGTACAGAAATCAATTTTAGTTTTCATATTTGTTTAATCAATGCAGGTGTGAGACTTAAGGAAGGCTGTAATATAAATCGAAGTTTATTTATTTTGGGACAAGTGATCAAGAAACTTAGTGATGGACAAGTTGGGTAAGATTATCCCACAGTGATTTACCTGTTAATGCTTATATTTTTCATGAGGTTGAAAATTATTATAGTTCAGTGACAAAGTGCTAATTTCTTTCATGTATTCAAAAGCTTTTGTGATTCTGTGAGCATGCATGACTTCTTATATCTATGACTATGACCAGCTAAATTAACTTATTTTAAATACTAGAGGTCCAGTGCACGAAATTCGTGCATGGGGCGGGGGGGGGGGTCCCCTCAGCCTGGCCTGCACTCTCTCCAATCTGGGACCCCTCAGGGGATGTTTGACTGCCAGACATCCCTCTCCCAATCCGGGACCAGCATCCCTCTCCCAATGCCGGCCTGATCCCCCTGTTCTCCCCTGCCAGCCTGATGGCCCTAACTCAGTGGTCGGCAAATTGCGGCTCACGAGCCACATGCGGTTCTTTGGCCCCTGGAGTGTGGCTCTTCCACAAAATACCAACTTCTGCGCATCGGCCACGAAGTTTCAATCACACTGTACATGCGCGCCCGCACATGGTATTTTGTGGAAGAGCCACACTTAAGGGGCCACAGAGCCGCAGTTTGCTGACCACTGCCCTAACTGCTCTCCCCTGCTGGCCTAATCGTCCCTAACCACCTCTGCCTCGGCCCCGCCACCATGGCTTTGTCCGGAAGGTTGTCGGAAGACATCTGGTCTAATTAGCATATTACCCTTTTATTAGTATAGATTTCGAGTCAGTAAATTTTACCTGCCCTCTTTAATCTGAAAAGAATTTATTTTTAAAGTTGTAGCTAAAGTTCTGCATTAATCAAGTAACCATTTTTGTTATATAAAAATTCTTACTCTTTTTCTTCCCAAACTCATTTCTCACCTAGGGGTTTCATAAATTATCGAGATAGCAAATTAACACGAATTCTCCAGAATTCCTTGGGAGGAAATGCCAAAACACGTATTATCTGCACAATTACTCCAGTGTCTTTTGATGAAACTCTTAGTACTCTCCAGGTGAGTGTGTTTCTTTTTTTATCTCAACTTCATTGGGGGGAGGGGGGGCGGGGATCATCTTAAAGAAGAAAAAATACCTACTGAGCTTAGCTATAGGTTTTTTGGGTTTATTTTGGGTTTTTTGTTTTTGTTCCAATGATGAAATTTTTTTTTAAGAGAGAGTGGAAGGGAGGAGGAAGATAAGAGAAACATCGATATGAGAGAGATGCATCAATTGGTTGCCTCCTGTGCACACCCCAACCAGGAATCGAACCTGCAACCCTTTGTGTGGGCTGATGCTCCAACCACTGAGCAACAGCAGCCAGGCTAGCTGTGTTTTCTTTTTTTCTATTGACATAACATACCTGATAAAATTAATGTGCTGTCTACTAAATAGAATTTTTTAATTTTCCCAGACTTCAGTCATATCTCATCTCCACAATTTTTGCCACATCTAACACTTTTACTGAAATTAACATGATATTTTTATTTAAATAACTCACTTTTTTACTTAATTTATTATAGAAGGATACTTTTTATCAGTCCCATAAATGAAAACTAGTATCACTTGCAACAAGTGGAAGTGGTTTCAAAAAATTGTTTGTCTTTATAACAATAATTCTTAAATTCCTGCTAGCTAATTGTTGCATGCCTTGACTCTGAGCTTAAAGCCTGCACTTTCTGTTTTGGGTTTGTTTTTGTTTGTGGGGGAGGGGGGGGGTTGGGGGTGAGTTAAAGGAAAAATGAGAAATTTCAATAGAATAGCTTTTTCAATGAAGGGTTCAGTGATTTAATGGTCATCTTCATGTTATCACTTAAAGTTACTTCTGATAATCGTACTTTAAGAAACATTGCTTTAAAGAGCTATTGAGCACTGGATCATGATACTGTCAGAGAAACAAAGATAGAAGATAGAGTCCCTGGCTTCACAGAATTTATAGTCTTATGGGGAAGATTAGACTGTCTCCCAACATAATTGCCTTGGATTAATAGTTACGTGGCTAGTAAGTAGGATAGAATTCAAAGGAAGGACAGCTGCTTTTGACCTGAAGCAAAGCTTCAGGTAGAGGGAGCGATTTGCACTGGATTTGAAGGGTAATGGGATTCTAGTAAGCCAGTAGGTTTTCTGTCACCATCTGTTTTTAAAATATTTGACTCTCCTTGAAGATATTTCAGTGCCAGGGTAGGTTACAGGAATTATTACAGCACACAGAATGTTCTTTGTGTTGAAAAGTATTATCCCACCCTGAAAGAGCATTGATTTTTTTCTCTAAAGAACTTAACTACAAGAAACCTAAATGTTGACTAAAATAAATGTTTTAGTGTCAAGCACTGAACACTCATATTTTTTTTTTCCAGTTTGCCAGTACTGCTAAATATATGAAGAATACTCCTTATGTAAATGAGGTATCGAGTGATGAAGCTCTCCTGAAAAGATATAGAAAAGAAATAATGGATCTTAAAAAACAGTTAGAGGAGGTATGTATGAACCATGTATTTCAGTAAAGAATGGGACAGAAATAGAATTGAAATCTGCCTAAATGCTCAGAAAGGCTCTTAAATCATCAATATCTGTGTCATGTGACCTAGCTTTAAAACAGTTTTTAACTAAGAAGAAATCAACGCAAAAGTTTTAGTTTAATTCACTATAAACTGAAAGATTTGGTTTCTTGCAATTATATTCTATTTCACTTTTCATTTCCAAAGGGAAAAATTTGGGATTTTGAAATGGGCCAAGTAAATACTTTTTAAAAAAATGTATATTTTTATGATTTCAGAGAGGAAGGGAAAAGGAGAGATAGAAACGTCAATGATGAAAGAGAATCATTGATCAGCTGCCTTCTCCATGCCCCCTACTGGGGATCAAGCCTGCAACCTGGGCATGTGCCTTGATCAGGAATTGAACTGAAACTTTCTGGTTCATAGGTCAGTGCTCAACCACTGACCCATACCAGGCAGGCCAAGTAGATACTCTTTAAAAATTGTCACAAATATAGGGAAGTGGGTTAAAAAGGAAGACCATGTATGGTTATGTAAAACTACTTTCTATAATTTCATGTTATCTTGAAATCCTCTTCTAACCCTGCAGTATCTATATCTATCTATCTATCTATCTATCTATCTATCTATCTATCTATCCGGTAGCCTAGGCCCTTGGTCGGCAAACCGCGCCTCTCTAGCCACATGCGGCTCTTTGGCCCCTTGAGTGTGGCTCTTCCACAAAATACTGGCTCTTCCACAAAATACCGACTTCTGCGCATGGGCCACGAAGTTTCAATCGCACTGTATGTGTGCGCCCGCATGTGGTATTTTGTGGATGAGCCACACTCAAGGGGCCAAAGAGCCGCATGTGGCTAGAGAGGCGCGGTTTGCCGACCAAGGGCCTAGGCTACCGGATGACCAGCAGGTAGCTATGATGCGCATTGACCATCAGGGGGCAGATGCTCAACACAGGCGGAAACCACAGGCATGGAAACATGGAACAGACTGATGAATCTCAGAGGAAAGGGGGGAAGGGGAGAGGGCAGGAAGAGAATAACCAAAGATCTTATATGCATACTAGAGGCCCGGTGCACAGATTCATGCACCAGTGGGGTCCCTCAGCCTGGCTTGCACCCTCTCACAATCAGGGACCCCTTGGGGGATATTGGACTGCTAGTTTCTGCCCGATTCCTGCACTGCAGGCCAGGCCGAGGGACCCACTGGTGCACGAATCCATGCACCAGGCCTCTAGTCAATCTAATAAAATAGCATAATCACTTGTCGTTGTAATTTATTTGTTTTAATCATTATGGTCCCCTGGTGATCTTTTAAAAGATGAACTCTAAGATACCATATGGTAGTCTTAAAAGAACATCTCTTCTTTTGCTGTAGGTATTCAGGTCTCTACTTTTCTGACTTCTCTGCCTGTTATTTATATATTTTCAGGCAATTAATAGAATTGCTCTAGCCCAGCCAGTGGCTCAGTGGTTGAGCATTGACCTATAAACCAAGAGGTCATGGTTCAACTCTGGTTAGGGCATATGCCCAGGTTGCCGGTTTGATCCCCAGTAGGAGGTGGCTGATAGATGTTTCTAATCAATGTTTCTCTCTCTCCCTCCCTTTTATTTATTTTTTGTTTAAATAGAATTGCTCTAACAGCATTGTTATAATCTTATACATGGCATATGGAGTATGCACATGAGAAGAACTGTATATTTTACTGATTTTATTATAAGATTGAGAAACTGTTGTAACTGCATATTGGTGTTCTGCAGGTAGGAAATTTTAGTTTAATAACATTAAAAAGTTCATGGTTCACAAAAATTTATATTCTTTTAGGTTACTTTTCAAGGTTCTAAAACCTAGCCATATTCATTAATATAACCGAATATTATATTCTATAGGTTTCTACAGAGACTCGGGCCCAAGCAATGGAAAAAGACCAATTGGCCCAACTTTTGGAAGAAAAAGATCTGCTTCAAAAAGTGCAGATTGAGAAAATTCAAAACTTAACACGAATGCTGGTGACCTCTTCTTCCCTCACATCACAACAGGAATTAAAGGTAAAAGTGTAAATGTTGACAGCTTAAACTTAGTATATGGAGAATAGAATTGGCATTCCTATATGTTTATTCTCTAGTTATGTATTTCTTATCCTTTCTTGAATACTATATATTCAAGAAACTCAGAACTTTTTGTGTATTTGCCTATACACATTCCTGATTCCCACATGCAGAGATAGCAATTCAAGAAGTCTGGTATATAGTCAAGGAATAGATTTGAAATGTGCTTCTTATGAAATTGATTAAGTGATTGGGAGCCACAGACATCTAGAGTGGGAATATTTTCTCTTTAAACAAATATTCATCTCAGGGAAATTGAACTAGAATATAAGTTAACATAGCGATCAGAATTCTGGCTTCCAGTATGTGTTCTTTTGTTTCTACTAGAATAGTTGGATATCTTTTGTCCAACAGATATTTTTGGGGTCTGGTTATGTAATAGTTAAGAGAATGACCTCTGGAGCTGAACTGTCTGGATTTGAATCCCAATTCTGTCAGTCCCTAACTCTGGACCTTAAGCAATTTCTTTTTTTTTTTTAAATATATATATTTTTTTAAATATATTTATTGATTTTTTTACAGAGAGGAAGGGAGAGGGATAGAGAGTTAGAAACATCGATGAGAGAGAAACATCAATCAGCCGCCTCCTGCACACCCCCTACTGGGGATGTGCTTGCAACCAAGGTACATGCCCTTGACCGGAATCGAACCTGGGACCCTTCAGTCCGCAGGCCGACGCTCTATCCACGGAGACAAACCGGTCAGGGCAAGCAATTTCTTAAATACTAGAAATTTGTGCAAGAGTAGGCCTTCCTTCCCCCGGCTGCCAGCGCCAGCTTCCCTCTGGCACCCAGGACCCAGGCTTTCTTCATAGCCCCGGCTTCATCCGGAAGGACATCTGTCCTAACTAGCATATTATGCTTTTATTATTATAGATAAATTTTGCTGCAGTTTCCTAATCAGTGAGACAGCCTGATCCCCACCTTATAGGATTGATGTGAGAAGTATTATAGAATGTGCTTAACATTCCATACAGCAAACCCTCAATAAAGATTTGCTATTAAGGTTATTATTAATATACGTTATATTCAAATTACCATGCTGAGTATATAGAAGACTTCAAGAACTATGTATTGAGAGTGATGAGTAGGAAATAGCCCAATGAAAGGTGTAGAGATGAGTGGTTCAGGAAGACATTTGCATGTACAGAAGTTGTGAAAAAACATGTTTCTTGGACTTAAAATGTTCTGGTGGCAGGGGCATTTAAAACCACATTGAAAGTTTTAAACGTTACGTTATGCTAAGGACAGGAACAAAGCCTTGTAAGTAACATGATCGGAATTGTGTTTTAAAAAGGTGTAGAGCTGGTGTGCACATCAGATTGATTGGGCCTCTACAAGGATGGTGGCTCTAATATTGGATAAACTGAAGAGCTATTTGGGAGGGAGACTCAACAGGAGTTTGTGATTGTTTAGATGTGGGAGGCAGGGAAAGGGAGAAAGAGGTTTCCAGAATGACTTGCAAGCATTGCTAGGCTTACTGGATAGCTGGTAGCAGTAGTCGTTGCGTTAAGGGTGAAGGAATATAGAGCAGTGACGCTGCTCAGTGTTTGGATTTGAGACATCACCAGTTAAAGGTGTCAGATAGTTGAAAATGCAAGTGTATGAAAATCAAGTGAAAGATCTGAGATGGAGATAGCCATTTGGACATAAACATTACAGATCGATTCAAATTAAAGTCTTGTGAATGGATGAGCTTGCTTTGGGAGCATGTTGAGAATGAAAAGAACAGAGGGCCAAAGACAAAACCCCAAGAAACAGCAACTTTATAGGTGTAAAGTTGGTAAAGGCAGAGAAGAAGAATCCATAAAGGAGCCTAGGGTTAAGCTGTAGAGTTAAGGAAACAAGTGAATGTGGTCATGAGAGGAAGAGACTATTCCAGAGAGGCAGTGTGTCACATTCTACTGAGAAGTTAAATAAGATACATGTAGACCAAAAAAAATTGGGATTTAGAAACAAGAAGCTCATTTGCAAAAGCAATTTGTATTATGTGTTGGGCGTGAAAGCCACCTTGCAGTGGGTTGAGATGGCCCAAAGGGATGGGATCTTAAATACAGCAGAAGGTCTGGACTTAGAGGGAGAAACACCTGTTAATTATAACAAGGACAGAGGAAGGAATAGGCTTCAGTGCAAGTAATGCTTTCATAAATTTAGGCTTATATTTTCTTTGTGAAATAGGAGGTTTATTTATTTTTATGCTGTGGTGGCAGGAGATGGTAAAGACACAAGTTTGTAGACATGCTAAGGGTTTAGCCTTTGTAAGGAATGGAAAAGAAAGCCCACGTGGAGAGGAGTGTGGCCAGGCAGCATTAAAGATCCAGATGATGTTGGCAGCCAGACTTTTGGTTGTGTGGCTCTGATAGCATTCGGGAGACTGATAAAGGCGGAGGAGGTAGTGTAATTCATTTGAGTGTTCACCGGATTGGACTAGGTGTAAAGAACAGAGAATGGGTCAAATAATTTGAGGCTATTGACCAGAAAACACAATTCAAATGATCATCTATGGAATCTAAGATGATGAGATAAGAACCAAGAGGGAGCTGGCAAGAAGAAAGTAGTGGATCAAGGGAATAGAGCTCCCTCTTATGCTTGATAGCCAAAATGGGATTGACTGAATCAATGAGGTGGAAGGATAGGAACTTTAGATAGAGTAGGAGGTCTAGGTTTATGAGTTTCAGATAATGGCAAGCTCCAAGAGTGGGTTTGGGAGCAAATGGATTTGAGCTGAAAGTCATTGAAGTGAAGGATTTTTATGACTGAGCTTTTGCAGAGCAGGCTGTGGAAAGGACTGTCTATTTTAAGCAAAAAGATATTGTGTGGGAGGAGCATGAAAGCATGCAGTTATACAGATATATATATAGATATAGATATATATATATATAGATAGATATATCTGCATTATACAAATATCTATATTATACAGAAAATCTTGAGAGGCAATGCAATGGAGTGGTTAGTGGATAGGCTCTGAAGTTACAGGCATGGGCTCAGCCACCAATTGGGTGTAAGATTGTACACAACTTCTCCCAACTTTTTGGACCCTCATCTTCTTTATAAAATGGATGTGGTAATAGAGGATTGTTGAGAGGATCAAATAAGATGAGATAATGCTTGTACTAGTAGAGGGGTAAGAGAAGAATGGTAGCTATGAAATATGGAAGACCACAAACAGGAGGTGGGCAGAGGAAAAGAAACCAGCAAAGTGGAGTGAGTGGTGAGGACAGCTAGCTGAGGGGGTTAAGAACCAGGAGGCAGGTGTCTTTGAAGGAATGAGGAAGATGGTGTAGAAACAGAAAGAAAATGATAGCTAAGGAGAGTAAAGAATTAAGATTTTGTTTGTTTGTTTTTTGTTTTAATCAAAAGCAAACAGAGGCTTGTGCATTTGTAAAGCTGAGAGAAAGGAGCCTAGTGAAAATGACAAATGAACAGGTCACTAAGGGAGCAGAGTACCACGAGAGAAAGGAACAAATGAGACCAGGAGGCATTAGTTTGCCAACTTGGAAGATAATTGACATTGTGGAGGGCCCTGTGAGAGGAAATTCAAATGGGCCACCTGTCTGCTTCTTCCCACTTCAAGTTGGGTTTCCAAAGGTGCTTTTTGTGGTAGCTATGATGGTGGCAGCCAATAGTCGTCTGTTCTGCATAACACAGATTGCTTTAAGGATTATGTGTTACCCAATTTCTTTCAGTTAAGTCCCGGAGAAACTTATAAGTTAAGATTCCAATTTTTAAAAAAATGTAAATAGTTTCATCAAATTTATGATGGGGTTAAACATTGATTTGAAAAGTTTGAGTATGTTTTCTTATCTCAGTATGTCCTTAGGCTGTTAAGATCTTAAACTAGGCTTGATAAGAATTCTACCAAGCCAATCATTCTTAAAAACGGAAACTAGTTCCCCCTGTTTTATTATCTGGGGGAGGTCATTTTCATTTTTTTTTCCTCTTTAGGCAAAAATAAAACGAAGAGTCACTTGGTGCCCTGGCAAAATTAACAAAATGAAGGACTTAAACTATGTGAATGAGTTTAATATGCCAATGAATACAACAAAAAGACAAAGGAGTGATGTAACTTCAATAGGAGAAATTGATGAATGTGAGTGCTTTTTTATAAAACTATCCCTATGATGGGAGACTTTACTTATTATATCTCAGTTAATGTGTATAATAAGACGTTTTCTATTTCCAGATCTCTTTAAAATGATGCACTGTCATTAGACTCCATAAGACAAATATTTTTATTGTTTTTGTTCTAATCTTTATCCAATTAAATTACTATTCATATAACATCTGCCTTAAACGTTGCTAATTTTAAAAAGGTGGAATTTACACAGAAAATTTTCAAAGTTATGCCTAACACTTTAAGTATTTTTAGAGGCGTTTAAAAAACTGCTTAACAGTTATCAAATCTCAAATTCAGAATTTGTTCTTTTTACCTGTATTGTGTTAAGGTGCCTATATTTTATGATTATATTCTAGCCAGTGATCTCAATTCACAAAATAATATATACAATCACATCTGTTTTTAATGTATTCTTGGCAGTCATGCTATGAACACATAATAGCTAATTTGAGCTTATTACATCTGATCAGAATTCTTTTAATAATCTATACTTTGAGTTTTAAGAAACTTACCAGCATATTTATGTATAAGTTTCTTTTCCCCTAATTAACAGCTGTCTGTTCAGAGGCTGATGTTTTCAGTAACACCCTTGATACAGTAACGGATATAGAGTGGAATCCAGCAACAAAGCTACTAAGTCAGGTAACTTGAATGTATTTTACAGAACATTATACTTTTACTCTTTAAAGTCATTTGTTATTGGTGTTTACTGTTGTTATAGCACATTATGGCTCTGACTTAAGTTCAGTAACAGTGTTGGTTCTAATTAAGTCTTCTTCACTCATTAGACTCCCAACTGATAATTGTGCCATCCAGAGGGAAGCTAAACACTTTATAAAATGAGCGTATGGTAGTAGGTAAAACTGTCAGGCCATTACCAGCAGATTTTGGTACCTTTGATTTATTTTCTTCTGTTTTGCCTTGGGAAATCACCTAAGGGTTAAAAAAAAAATGGCTGATTTTAAAAGTGTCAAAATTCTCAGGCCTATAGTACAATAATATATGGGGGAGGGATAATGTTGCCAAATAATAATAATAATAAATAAAAGTAACTGTATTATATAAGGTCTTATCACAACTTTAGGAATAAGAACTCCTGTAGTGAATACCTTAGTAAATGTAGATTCCATGTTTAATTCCCCAGCTTCTAATGTTCAAAGAAATAGATATAGTTCTGTATATGTATTTGTTAAAGTAATTTCATGCTAATTTTGGAATAAAATTGGAACCTTCTTGGGAGTTATTATTAGCTAACCACTGTAATTAGTCATAAATTAGTTATTATAATTAGTTAAGTATTGGTAAAGTGCTTCTGTGTCCCTAAAGCATACTCCAGGAGCTTGTTGATTTTATAAAATCCTTGGTCTTAGTTTTTGGTTTTAATTGATTGTGGATTGTTTTTTTTTTTTTACTCGTATTTGTTTCACCTGTGCTTATTCTCATGAGGAAGAAGGAATTAAAAACATCTTTAGGAAGGTTTAGTTAATCTGCCCATTGATGGATTTGTATGATAAAGTTTATCTCTTTATCATAAAAGTATAGAAAACAGAAGCAGGTCTCTGTTGAGGATGGCAAAAACCTAGAAGCGGTTATGAATTTTATTTTATTTTTCAGATGGATTTGAATTAGGAGTGAAACAGAGGTATTACTTATTGATCTCTAAAACTCTAACCGCTGCTAGGTTTTTGCCACTTTCAATGGAAACATTTTATCACAGATCCTTAAGCTCCTTAGGAATAAAGCTGATGGATTTTCCATTATGCACCCTATCTCCTACTCCTGATGAACTTTTCCAGACAGGCACAGGCAGAGCATTTGATTCTATGGTCTTTTTTTTTTTTATTATTCTACCCCTTTCAAAGTAGTCGTGTATTCTAAGTTAACTAATTTACCAAAATGCAAATCCTTTATTTTGCAGTGGACAGCAGAAGCATTTGATTCTATGTCTTTTTTTTTTTTTATTATTCTACCCCTTTCAAAGTAGTCGTGTATTCTAAGTTAACTAATTTACCAAAATGCAAATCCTTTATTTTGCAGTGGATCAAGCTAAAACATTAGGATGATATTGAAAAAGAGAATGGCTTAAATTACCAAATGATTCAAGGTTAAATTTATGTGACTAATCCAAATTTTTAGTTAAGTAAACAAACATATAATCTGAATTCTCTCCAGCTTGAAAATCTGGTTTTGTTTACCACAGGAAAACTTAGAAAGTGAGTTGAATTCACTTCGTGCTGATTATGATAATCTGGTATTGGACTATGAAAAACTAAGAAAAGAAAATGAAGAAATGGAATTGAAATTAAAAGAAAAGAATGATTTGGATGAATTTGAGGCTCTAGAAAGAAAAGCAGAAAAAGATCAAGAGGTAAGGATACGAAACAACACTAAACTAAAACAATGATATTTCTTTTGTAAGAATTATCATTTTCTTAAAGATATTTATTTGTAAGGTTGAAATTGAGGATCCAGCCATTTTCCATATGCATACACAATTAGAGAATTTAAGAAATAATTCATTTATTGTTTTTAAAATAGTTAAATCATATTTATTTCACCTGTTCTTAAGCTCAAGAGGAAGAAGGAATTAAAAACATCTTTGGGAAAGTTTAGTTAATCTGTCTATTGATAGATTTGTATTGAAGAAATTTTAATATCTAGCTGAATGTTTTATGTATAGATACTACATATTAATGGAATTTTTCCATTGAAAGTGTATTCCTAAACAACATTATTAGAAAGCTGGGGAAGCTAATTTTGCACTTTTCTTTTTCCATATAAGAGAGTTATTGTGAAACTAATGCTAAATAGTTTTAATGGAAATATTAGAAATAAAATAGATCACTTAAATTTTCTAAGTATATAATATTAGGCTACATGTTAAGAGAACCTAATCCAGAAACCATGAAACTTGGGGAACTTAAATTGTCCTAAAGATTCAATAAATTTCTTAGTGCAGATAGTCCTAAACAGTTCACAGAAACTGTGAATTCTTTTGCAGAAGTTTTGAATACATATTTATTTTTATGGAACAGAAATCCCTTGCTGGTATCAGACTTGTGAAGTGATCCACAAATACCTCCAAAAATAAGAGCCAGTGTTTTAGTATAGTTAAAATATGAGTTAATTTGCAGATACTCCTCAGATTTCTATATGAATAGCCCAAAGGGACACAGTCCTTTTCCCTCAGTATCATTGAGTAGTTTCTCATCCTCTACCTTTTTAAAAGCAAAAAGAATTCTGTACCAAAACTATTATTTCCATTCTACCTAAAATTTAAGTGACTCCTGCATTTCACAGACATTATATCCTGGGAGGCAAAAGTCAATAAGTTCACAGTTCCATTTAATTTATTTTAAAATTTGCATATAACATAATGCAAAATGTCATGAAAAGAATATTGGGCTTCAATCAATAAAACCAGTTTTATTGAAAGGGGTATGATCTAGTGTCATGGTTAAGAGCCAAACTACCTGGTTTTAAGCCCCAGTTTTGTTGCTTAAGATTCAAGCCTGGTGTGTATTATCAGCAAGTTCTTGAGCACGCCATTGCATCTCAGGGCTTACTTCATGTATATCTCCATGCTTCAGGTTAGATCAGGTGCAAAGAACATGACAAAATTAACTTTGGGCATACATGATTACAAAGTAACACAGAATCTATGTCTTAAAACTCACATCTGATTTTCTTTTTTTCTTTTTAACCACCATCAGGGGGAAAATAATACAATTCTCTTCAGTTTTACTCAAACACAAATTGAAATTCTTGGTCTGTAAGATAATCTAAAATATTACATACCAAAGGCTTACTCTGCTTGAAGATTGTTTTACGACATCCATTGCATGTTAAACTAAAAACATTAAGTCTATGTGCATACAGTAAAACATGTTTCAAAATGTACATCTGGGAGGAAAGTTTAACAAAAGGGGAATGAAAGTCATATGATGGCCTGAAGATATGTGCCCTGGTTTGCCTAAGGGTTTCATCAAAAATCACCAAAGTTGTGGATAATTTTCAAGTGAGAATATAATATAGGGTGTTTAAACAGTAATTTTAGAGGGCGGAATAAACAAGGTCAAGTATCATCATACTCAGAGAACAAGAGAAACTTCAACCCTCTACCTATTTTAACTTGATCTCTTTAATTTTATAATTTTCACAACTTGGAGATTTTTGTCTTAAGAAGTTAAATTTCATTTCACCTGCTGCAAATTACAGTTGAAATCTGTACTATTTTGTATGTAACAATGGATGATCTTTTGATCATATTGTACATTTTCTCTTTGTGCTCATTAAACAATACATCAAATAGTGGTTACACTCAGATCATTACAAAAGTCACATAATCTTTTCTTGTTCCCAGTACTTAAAATAAAGTGTTTCAAATAAAAGCAGGAGAATTATTCTTGCTGAATGCTTTCAAAGTTTAAGATTGACTATTTAGTTCTGTATAAGTAAATGTGATTTTCTAATGCAAAAGTTAGAAGTGGAAGAAAAGGTAACAGATAGAGCCAATTTAAACTTTAACCAATACAGATGTCTAAAACTTTGCTGAAAAAGATAGTAGCCACTAATTACATGTGGCAATTAATCACTTGAAATGGGGTTAGTCTGAATTGACTTAAGCATAAAAAAAAGAATTTAAAATATTTTCTTAATTTTTATTATTGATTACAGGAAGAAATTATAATAATATTTTGGATATATTCGGCTAGATAAAATATATTAAAATTAATTCTACCTGTTTCTTTTTACTTCTTTTTAATGTGGCTACTAGAAAAATTAATTACAAATGTTGCCTCCCTCCCAAAAATTGGGAGAGATTGCATTATATTTCTATCGATTGGTGCTAATCTAAAATAACTAGCAGTAGTCTGAAATCTAAAACTAGGACTGAATTAAATTTAAAAAAAATTATTTTACCTTTTTTAGCACAAAAATTGCCAGTACTCAAATAGTTAATACTACAAATGTTTCGATAGAAAGGAAACTTTAATAGAAATACTTACATCTTTAAGTATTTATACTTTAGACAGTTGAACAATATAAAGCAAAAACATTAACTTTCCAATATTTCCTATAAACCATCAAAGTAACAGTTGATAATTCCAAGCAAATCTCTATAGCTTTGGTGAACAGTAATAATATTTTAAAGGCTTCATGAAACTTCTATAATCCAAACCTAAATTTCAAATCACAACTCATTGAAAAGTATGCCAGTGTAAAACCAAATAGATAATTTATGAGAAGAAAAGAAATCTTTTAGGATAAATACATTTCTGTACTTACCCAAAACAAAAGCCTAATAGAAGCATGTTTTTGTAAAGTTTGATTACTACTTTATTTTCTCCAAGTGGTGCATACTAATTTGCTTTTGAAGTTATTGTAGCTTTATTAACAGAGGATAAGCCTGTTATTTGGGTCATGCCCAAATAAGTTTCTTTTTCTTGTTTGCTTGCTTCCTGGGGTTTGCAGAGATTTTGTTTGGTTGATTGGTCTTGGGGTTTGATTTGGGGCTTTTTTGGTACTTTTAAATAATGAGATGCTCTGTTACTGTAGCTTGAACAGTTATCTCTCAGTCTCTTCTTACTTGTTGGGTGATTCTGAAGCAGTGATTCAATTTTTTTTTTTTTTTTTTTTTTGCTTTATTAACTATTGGTTTGCTCTGTTGCCTGTTCACATGCTCTTACAGATGCAACTAATTCATGAAATTTCGAACTTAAAGAATTTAGTTAAACATGCAGAAGTATATAATCAAGACCTTGAGGTGAGCATTTATGTTCATATTTCTACTAATAAGGAACTAGAACTATAAAACAAATCATGCATAATTGAATATGATTTATGATTTCAGAAAATAAATTATATTTCTTAAGTGTCAACTTTTTGAATTTTACTGTTTACCAATTTGAACTGTTAAAAAGTTCCTTGTAATCCCCTAGAATTCAAATCCAATTAAATTGTTTTACTCTCCTTTGATTTCTTTTAGAATGAACTAAGTTCAAAAGTAGATCTACTTAGAGAAAAAGAAGACCAGATTAAAAAGTTACAGAAATACATAGACTCTCAGAATTCAGAAAGTGTGAAAATGGACTTGTCATACTCATCGGTAAAAATCAGGTTTATTTTATTATGTAATAATGTTAATATTTATAGCATACCTTCATCATCATCATTAAAGCAAATGCTTATATTGAGCCAACTATGTGCTGAGCATTGTAATGTTTTACATACAGTATTTTATTTAATCTTGTCAATAACCCTATGAGCGAGGGACTATATTAGGAACATTGCCATTTTTACCAATAAGGAACCATTCATAAAGAGTTGAGGATATCATCCTTTGAGTGATTATAAACAAGTAGGTTATGAACTTCCATTAAAAAATTAGTTATTTAAAAATGTTTAAAATTTTTTTTTATTTAAAAAAAGAAGTGTGTAGTCAATGTCTTCAGGTGAGCACTTACATTGTTGATTAATTCTAGAACTAAAACATAAATGAGCATGTTTTCATAAATGTCATTAATTTCACTGATATTAATGCATTCTCATAATTTAAGTAACTATTTTCAACAGTTTGAGTATTTTTCAGAAAATATTGTTCTAGATGACTTTATTTGATACTAGATTGTGGTATTAAGTAACATTGACATGGTGAAATTTTGATTTTTTTATCTATTTGCTATCAATACACCTGACTACTTCAAGAAAGTTAACAATTTCTAGCTTGAAATTTTTAAATCTTGGTTTCTGTTCTATTGGTTTTGTTTTGAGTTTTTCATAGTAATCTTTGTTACATTCTATTAATGACAGATGATTCTTTTTAAAAGTATTCTCACCTGGCCTGCATGGCTCAGTGGTTGAGCGTCGACCTATGAACCAGGAGGTCACAGCTCAATTCCCGGTCAGGGCACATACCCAGATTGCAGGCTCCATCCCCAGTGTGGGGTGTGCAAGGGACAGCCAATCATTGATTCTCTCTCATCATTGTTTCTATCTCTCCCTCCCTCCCTTCCTCTTTGAAATCAATAAAAAAAATATATACTAGTATTTTTTAAAAGTATTCTCACTGTTCTGAGCTGTGGGTAAGAAAGGTACTTTCATATAATCCTGGAGAGTAGGATTGATACAGTAGCAAGCAGAATTGCCAATTTTTAAAAAAATTATTTCTTACGCTTCATTCATTCACGAGTGCATTATTATTTTTCCAAGTACATATGGTTGAATTTATGTAAGCTAAAGTCATGTTAAAATGTCACTTTTCTCTGAACATGACTTCTGATTTTTTTTTCATATATTTATAGATCATTTGCATTTTCCCTTCACTAAGTTACCTGTTTGTATCTTTTCTCTATTTTCCTATTGGATAATTTTCTTTTCAAGTGGTAATTTAATTTTTTAAAATAATCCTCACCTGAGGATATGTATAGAGAGAGGAAGGGGAGGAGAGACAGAGACAGAGAAACATTGATGTCAGAAAGAAACATCTATCTGTTGCCTCCCATATGCCCCAACCAGAGATCGAACCCGAAACCAGGGTATTTGCCCTGACCAGGAATCAAACCTGAAACCTTTTGGTGTATAGGACAACACTCCAACCACCTGAGCCACCTGGCCAAGGCTAATGTAATATTCTTAATCTTAATTATTAACTACTAGCCTATCATGTTTGGGAGAGAATAACAAAATAAAAATACATAGAGAACTTTAGCATGCTAGCTGAACAAAAGTGTGCTAACGTTTTCCAATTCTGAGAAAGTTAGATTTCACTCAAATCTTTTTTGTCATGTGTATAGGAAGACAGTGACGATCTAAAACAAAAGAAACAAACTCTGCTTGATGCTGAAATTATAGCCCTTGATGCCAAGAGAGAATCAGCCTTTCTTAGGAGTGAAAATCTGGAGCTGAAAGAGAAAATGGTAGGTGATTTTTGTAATATTTTCAAAATTGAGCACTTGTAATGATCAGTACATTTTTGTAAATTTGCAATGTTTCTCTTAATAGAAAGAACTTGAAAGTATGTACAAGCAAATGGAAAGTGATAATCAGTTACATCAAAGCCGGTTGGAGGCAAAAAAGAAAATACAAGTTGATCTGGAGAAAGAATTACAATATTCTTTTAATGAAATAACAAAACTCAACTCCCTTTTAGATGGCAAAGTTCCAAAAGGTATCTTGAAATTTCAGGCTACCTCTTTGCAAATCTAACTTTCTGTTGAAATGTACCTAAAGGATTTTGCAACAATATTCCAATGATTGGAAATCCGTTATTCTCTGATTTATAATAACAATATTAACTTTCAATATTATATGTATCAGTATGTATAAGTGTTTCCATGGACTTCAGATCATAAGGGTTAAAAATTGTACATGTTCTTAAAAAGGTGATTCAAGAAATATTAATATGTATGGTGATGGATAGAATTTTGGAGGACAATTTATTTAATTTACCAAAAATTTTCTAGATTTGCTCTGTAATTTGGAATTGGAAAGAAAGATTACAGCTCTCCAGAAAGAACTGAAGAAAGAAGTTGAAGTAAATGAAACTTTGCATGAAAAAGTTAATTTGCTCTCAGAATTGAAATCTTTACCTTCAGAAGTAGAAATGCTAAGGAAAGAGGTAAACACATTTTTAAGGAAATAACTCTTATTTTGATGGTAAAGTTAAACAAGAAAATACACTTAAAAGAGACAAAAAAAATATTGCCTTTTCTCGGTCAGATCTTTGCTCAATTTTCAGTGTCTTTTTGTAGAAAAAGTTTTTTGTGTTTTTGTTTTTCTGAAAATTTCAGTAGATCATACATTATTAACAATGCTAAGTATTCTTTTTTTCATAGGTAAATGATAAGTCTGAAGAGCTATATCTAATAACATCAGAGAAAGACAAATTGTGTTCTGAAGTAGTTCATAAGGAGAGTAGAATTCAAGATTTACTTGAAGAAATTAAGAAAACTAAAGATGACCTTGCAATCACCCAGTTGAATTATAAAAACATGGATCAAGAATTCCAAGATTTTAAAAATTATCATATTGAATTTGAACAAAAGTATGACATGGTCCTTGAAGAGAATACAAGAATAAATCAGGAAATAGAAAATCTCTCTAAAGAATCTCAAAAACTTGGTTTAACTTTGGATGACCTAAAGACAGAGGTTGGTACAAGATACCCTGTAGAGAAATGATCTTTAGTCTGCTGCAGTTTGGTTCCATACATATGCCATAGAATGTTCTGCTTTTCACACTTTGTCTTATTTTAAAGCTTTCTCAGAAAACCCAAGAACTTCAGCAAAGTCAAGAAAGGTTCAATGAAGTGGAACAGCTGAAGGAACAATTACAAAGTAAAGATTCCAGGCTGCAAACTATAGAAAGGGAGAAAATACTGACTACTGAGAAGCTTCACCAAACCTTAGAAGAAGTAAGGATCTTGACCCAAGAAAAGGATGACTTAAAACAACTCCAAGAGAGCCTGCAAGTTGAGAGAGACCAGCTGAAAAGTGACATTGAGGATACTGTAAACATGGTAAGGTTTTGACTGGTTAAATGTTGAAAACTTGGAACATCTTTAAAAACATTATCGGAGCCATCATTCATTATTTATGATCAAGTAGAAACTATAAAATTATTTTTATTGTTTCACCTTATTCTAATGGAAATGGTTTTGTATTTCTCTGACAAAGAACATAGACACCCAAGAACAATTACGAAATGCTCTTGAATCTTTGAAACAACACCAAGAAACTATCAACACGCTAAAAATGAAAATTTCCGAGGAAAGCTCCAAGAATTTGCCTGTAGAAAAAACCATAAAAGAAACTAAGGATGAATTTCAGGAAGAGGTAAAGAGTTCCTGTTCAAAATTTTCATATATTTACATATGAGCTTTCTTCTTAACCTCAAACACTTAAGTACATGACAGTAATCTCAATCTTATTTATTACTCACAGTGGTAATAACTAACAATAATTCATAAACTTCATCCTAATAGCTTTGAAATAATTTTAATATAACTGCTTACAATCAATTTGGAAAATGGCAAAAAATATTAGTTCACTTTTTTTTTTTTTAATGCCCCTGACTGGAATTGAACCGGGGACCCTTCGTTCACAGGCCAATGCTCTATCCACTGAACAAAACCAGCTAGGGCCATTAGTTCACACTTTGAGCTGATATTTTATTTTACATCAGATTTTTATACTAAACTTCTTTAGAGTTTACTATAAAATCAATGTGTATATCATATATATGCCTATTTCTAGTTCTTCAGCCATAATTTTACTAGTAGGTGCTTAAGTCTTACCTTACTCATTCTAGGCAGTATGGTTTGTTTTTTCCTGAGACCTTATGAGAATAGCTGCTTTACCAGTTAACTAATACACAAGAAAAGCTAGGATGGTAATGATGATTTTTTTAAAAAAAGAGGTGTATTATAGTGTGCTAAAGCTGCCATAACAAAATATCATAGACTGGGTGGCTAAAACAACAGAAATTTATTTTCTCCTAGTTGTGGTCTAGAAGGCCAAGATTAAGGCACCTGAAAATTCTGTTTATGGAGAGGCCTTTCTTTCTAGAAAGTAGATACTGTCTTTTTTCTGCGTCTTTACAAGGCCTTTCTTCTGTGCACTAGAGCTGAGAAAGTGTCTGATATCTCTGCCTCTTTTTTAAGGGCACCAATCCTATGGGACCAGGGCCTACCCTTATGACCTCATTTAACCTTAATTGCCCTCTTTAAATGCCCTATCTGCAATAGTTATATTGGGGGTTAGGGCTTCAACAAATTTTGTGAGGACAAAATTCAGTCTATAATGAAGTAATTGGAAACAACTAAAAATTACTCATAAATACTTAAAACTATAGAAAATGAAAGTTTTAGAGAAAACAGCTTTTTTCATAAATATTCAGAATTATTTTTTAAAAGCAATATTTTATTATATAGACAAAGATGAAGCCAAAATTCTTTTTTCCCCCTTCTTTAAATCTATTCCTTCAGCATCTCATAAGGCACTACTGTCTTCCTCATTGATTCAGTAAGAAATAAATTTATTCTCCATTCTGAGCCCAGTCAGTCTTTTCTTCTTAAAACCCTTTGATGACACATTGTTACTCTTGACATCAAGGCCGGAATTCTTCGTAAGGCAGAGAATTCCCAGACCTTGCTGGTCTCTAGCATTATTTCAGTTCTCTTGTCGTCCTGCTCATTATACTCCAACAACTCTAGTCCATTGTTCTTCCTCATCTCATGGCTTTCAGATGGTCTCCCTACCTGCAGCATTACCACACCAACTCCCCCACTTCATAAACACTCACCATAGGTTAAGTGTGCCACTAATACTCTAGGAGAAGCAGTACTTCTGTTTGGTAAGATTTGAATTAATGTCTACTTTTCCCCTAAAGTGTCTCAAAATGGCAGAGATCCTGTAAATCTCATTCCCGTTTTATCTCCAACCTCCAGTAGTACACTGACATCACAGTGAGCCCTCCATAAATAAGTGCTAAATACCCGCATAATGGAGGAGCAGGGAAGTGGGAGAATTGCTCTGTAAAGGAACCATTAAATCCTGTCTTAATTGTTTTAGAAAATTTCCTGGCTTCTTTTCCCCTAAAATAAAGTATCTTTGGATATCAACTGTACTGTTTTATGATTCTCTTAAGATCCAAGAGGCTCAAGACATACCAGAACAGTCCTTTAATATGCAGGAAAAAGACAATGAGATTAAGAAAATAAACAGTGAGATGGAGCAATTGAAGGAGCAACTCAAAGCTAAAGAGTCAGCACTGCTAGGATTAGAAAAGGAAAAACTCAAGTTGTCGGAGAGACTTCAAGAAAGTCATCAGGAAATGAAATCGATAGCGACGGAGAGAGATGACCTACAGAGGCTGCAGGAAGCTCTTCAGGCTCAAAGTGACCAACTCAAAGAACACATGAGAGAACTCACAGCTAAGGTAGGTTACATTCTTTTCTGTGTGTGTGTGTGTGTGTGTGTGTGTGTGTGTGTTTAACTAATTTGTAAGCAAATATTTTTGTGGAAAATAAACCTTTGGAAAAAGGAATCAGAGCGTAATGGTTATAATGTTTCTATAAATTTCTTACAATTTCCTCTATTAATAAAGCACCTAGAAACTGAAGAGGAACTTAAAGTTGCTCATTGTCGCCTGGAAGAACAGAAGGAAACTATTGATAAGCTGAGAGTGAATCTTTCAGAGAGAGAAACTGAACTATCAAGCTTTCAAAAGGAATTAGAAACAACCAATGATGAATTACAGAAAAAGGTAAATTGGGCATGAAGGGACAGTGGGGAAAAAAACCTGAGTGAGGTAGCTAACCGAATTGCAAATACTTACTTTTTACACACTAAATTGTTTTGGCGAGCATACTGGATTTTTTACCTAAAAAAAATATATATATATATATACACACACACACACACACAACATACACATACAAGGGTGGGTAAAAGTACATTTACAGTTGTTCAGATGGAAAGACGTACTGGTTATGAGTATTACAAACAAAGAATAAACTGCTTTGTGTACTCGCAACTATAAACCTACTTCTGCCCATATATATGCATATATATATATATATATATCACATAAAAACACAACATACATACATGTATATACAGATGCACACATATAAAAACATTTTATGCATTTGATATATATATATTTTTTGGCTATTATTATTATTTTAAGATGCAAGAGCTTCATGAAAAACAGGAACAATTTATTTGCGTCAAAGAAATCAGTGAGACTCAGGAAAAAATGAGTGAACTGGAACAATTAAGGGAGCAACTCAAAGCCAAAGATTCATCACTAGAAAGCACGGAAAGGGAGAGGCTCAAGTTAACTGAGAGACTTCAGAAAAGTGAAGAAGAAATAAACATTATAATTAAAGAAAGAGATGAACTGAAAGGGGTGCAAGAGGCCCTTCAAATGGAGAGAGACCAACTCAAAGAAAACATTAAAGAACTTGTAGCTGAAGTAAGTTTCCCTCTTCTGATGTTTTTGGGAACACAAATAGTTTTAAGGTGATAGCAATGCTCATTATTAACTTCTATTCACTATTAACTTTTATTCATTTTGCTCCAATCATAGAGACAGAAAATCAAAGAGGAACTACAAACTACTTACATTCTTCTAAAGGAGTACCAAGAAACTATTAGTTCAATGAATATTTCAAAGAAGACAGATCAAGGAGCAAATATTCAGAGAGATTTAGAAAATTCAGATGCTGAATTATGGGGAAAGGTAGGTCTTGTTAAGTTGGAAAATGACATCAGATTATTGTGCTCCTCATGTTCCTGAGGAATAAAAGAGTACATACATTAAACTAAATGTAAAAATGATTGACTTAATTTAGAAACAAATCTTTATTCTAAAAACCTGCCTTTGCCCTCACTTGTTTTATGATTTTCTCAGATTCAAGAATTTCCGGAAAAAGAACATCAGCTTCTTGAGATGAAAGCTGTAAATGAGACTGAGGAGACAATGTGTGAAATAGAATACTTGAAGAAGCAATTTGAAACCCAAAAGTCAACTGTGGAAAACCTAGAAATAGAGAACATAAGGTTAACTCAGAGACTCCAGGACAACCTTGAAGAAATGAGATCTGTTACAAAAGAAAGAGATGACCTTAGGAGTATGGAGGAGACTCTCAAAGTAGAGAGAGACCAGCTCAAGGAAAACGTAAGAGAAACTGCAATTAGAGTGAGTTACCATCTTTTCCCCATCTAGTAAAAATGACACTGTGTCTCAAAAGAACCATAAACAGTAGGGCTGGTGGGAGTGTAAAACTGGTCCAGCCTTAGAAGGTTGAAGGAGGAAGTGGGAGTGTATTTGGTAATATCTTCCAAATATTTTAGTAAGTTTATCCATTTACCCAAAATGTTCAGTTGTAGCTATATACCCTGCACACATTAGCGCAACCATGCGAAGATATTTGTAGAAGGATTGGTAGCAGAAAGTTGCATTAACAAAATAAAGCAAACAAAAAAAATAGGGAAAATTCTAACTATCTGTTAGTAGGAGACTGGTTAAATAAGTGCAGCACATTCAGACCATGGGATGCGAGGCCACAGATAAAGAATGAGGTGGAGCTATGGTGTTGACTTGGAAGTATCCTGGTAGGGGAAATTGTAAAGTAGTATATGTAGCTTGTATTAGCACCTGAGAGTCAATTGGAGGATGAGCACTAGGAGGTATAAGGAGGGAGAGGAAATTTTACTTCTTACTCTGTACTTTTGTGCATATGGTCTGAATTGCGTTCATCTGAATATATTATTTTTCTTTCTCTAATAAAGGACCTGGAAAGACAAGAGGAACTAAGAATTGCTCACAAACATCTGAAGGAGCATGAGGAAATTATTGATGAACTCCGAAGGATTGTTTCTGAGAAAACAAATGAAATATCAAATATGCAAATGGATTTAGAAAACAAAAATAGTGCCTTAAAAGCACAGGTATTTCTTTTAAGTTCTTACCTAAGTAACAGTTTTAATCAAGTCTTTTGTGTAGTGAAACAAGATATGAATTAGCCTAAAATTGAGGACAAGTAGAGATTTTGTCTGCATAATTTAGAAACGAATGTTTAGCTTTTGTTATCTGTTTATATCAGAATTTATTCTATGATTATTTCAAGATCCAAGAAGTTCAGGAGAAAGAACATCATCTTCTTGAGGTAAAAAATGATCTCAAGGAAACTATGTATCAAACAGAGCAATTAAAGAAGCAATTGGAGGCCCAGAATTCAATCTTGGAAAATACAGAAACAGAGAAATTAAGGTTGACTCAGAAACTTCATGAAAACCTTGAAGAAATAAAATGTGTTACTAAGGAAAGAGATAGCCTAAGGAGAATGGAGGGAACCCTCAAAATGGAGCAAGACCAGCTCAGAGAAAGCCTCAGAGAAGCAGAAGTTAAAGTAAGTGACACTCATACCTCTTCCTAGTGAGGAAATGTGAGCCCTTCTTTGATAGAAGCATATACAAAGCACACATAAACCACAAGGTTGTTCATTGTAACAGTATGTAACAGAAAATGGGAAACAACCAAAATGTCAATCAGGAGGAAACTGGGTAAAGATAAGCAATGTGTCAAGAATATTATACAACAGGTAAAAAGAAAAAAAATTCAATAGATTTGAGTGTCCTAATTGGGAATCCCAAAATAACTCTCAGTGAGAAAAGCAGGTTGTAAAATAGTGTGTGCATAATGTGTTTGCCTCTGGAAAGGAGAGGTTTGTGGGGAAGGGGGGAAACGGAAGAGGGAAAAGCTTTTAACTTTCTAACAAAAATGTAGAGTAAGAATTAGAGTTCTGTTATTTTTACTAAGAAAATATATTACTTTCATTTAAAAATAATAGTTACCTTGCCTAGCTGTGTGGCTCAGTGATTGAGTGTTGACCTATGAACCAGGAGTTCACGGTTTGATTCCCGGTCAGGGCACATGCCCAGGTTGTGGGCTCGATCTCCAGTAGAGGGTGTGCAGGAGGCAGCTGATCAGTGATTCTCATCATTGATGTTTCTATCTGTCTCTCCCTCTTCCTTCCTCTCTAAAATCAATAAAAATATATATTTTAAAAAAAAATACTGGTGGGGGAGGGGATGGGGAGGGGGTTATAGAAAGAGGAGCTAAGAATTGCTCACATGCATCTGAAGAAGCACCGGGCAGGGATTGTTTCTGAGAAGACAGATGAAATGTCAAATATGCAAATGGTTTTAGAAAATTTAAACACTGTATTACAAGAAAAGATATATGGGGGGAGGGCTTTGATTAAATATCTGATTTATTTTTGCCTAAAATACATTGGGAATGTAAAATGGTTTGGCCACATTGGAAAACAGCTTGGCAGTTTTTACTAACACCAAACATATACCGGCCTGTGACCCAGTATTTCTACTTGGTTATGTACCTAAAAGAAAAATGTACATACTTCAACATAAAGATATGTACAAGAATGTTCTTAGTAGCGCTAATCATAATAGGGAAAAACTGAAAATAATGCAAATGTCTATCAAAAGAATTTTAATTTATAAGATCAAAAGCAGGCAAAACTCATCTAGGATGAGAAAAGTCAGAATAATGATTATAGGATGGTATACATAGGAACTTGAGGATGGCTGCTTTAAAAAGGTTCTATATTTTAATCTGGGTTGTAAGTACATAAATGTTAAGAATAATTGATCTATATATACACTTAAAAATAGATCACTTATTTATTTATACCTTAAAAGAAAATAATTTCTGGGTGGAATTATGTATTCATTAAAGCAACATGGGAAAACGGTTGTCTAAATCAATTTAGAAACTTCTTTATCCTTTCCTTAAAAACCAACTGTCTGCTCACATGTTATTTTATGATCATCTTAAGATCCAAGAACTTAGGGCAAATGAACATCAACTCTTGAAGTTAAAAGAAGACTTCAGTGAGACACAGAAGAAAATGTCTGAAATGGAGCAATTAAAGAAACAATTCAAAACCCAAAGTTTAACTCTGGATAAAATAGAAATGGAGAACTTAAATTTGACTCAGAAGCTTCATGAAAACCTTGAAGAAATGAAATCTGTAATGAAAGAAAGAGATCATCTAAGGAGAGTAGAAGAGACTCTCAAACTGGAAAGAGACCAACTCAAGGCAAATCTACAAGAAACCATAGTTAGAGTAAGTTGTGCTCCTTTCTACCCAGTAAACATGTTTTTAATATAAGAGGCTCCATTCTTTGAAAATAAATGGTACTGTTGGTGATCTTTTAGGAAATGTTATAATCTTTTAAGAAGACAGTTTGATAATATCTTATTAAAAATTTATCAGCATATGCATTTGCTACAGCAATTCCATGCCTATGAATTTAACCTATCAGTATGTTCACACATTTGGGGCAGAAATACAGCAAAACTTACTGCAACATTGTAATCCAACTGTCCACCCATAAGACACTGGCTAGATGGAGCTCATCTGTGTAATGGAATACTAAGCATAAGAACAGGGCATGTGATAGTGATTTAGAGAGATGTCCAAATGATATGAAAGGTGAAAAGTAAGTGGCAGAGTTTATCAGGGAACAGGACTGGGATAGGTGGAACTTTTGCTTTAGATCCTTCTGCACTACTCTAATGTAGTGGTGGAATGGTGGTGGTTTTTAACGACAAGCATGCATTTTTTTAAGATTTTGTTTAACCAGTTCATTAAGAAAAAGTAATGTTTTTTTATGTCATCATTTCTCAATTCTAATAAAGGATCTGGAAACACAAAAGGAACTAAAAATTGCTCGTATTCATTTGAAAGAGCACCAAGAAACAATTGATAAATTCAGAGAAAGTGTTTCAGAGAAAACAACTCAGATCTCAAATATTCAAAAGGATTTTAATAAATCAAAAGATGATTTACAGATAAAGGTATGTGTTGTTTTGTTCTTTTGGGCGTGTCCAAAATTATTTGTGAAATAAGGGAGGATATAGATACAGATATGTAGACATAGCTATATATATGTACATATATAACAAATAGACACTAGTTTCCTTCCTTTAAGGGATTCTCATTGCATTCTAACTTGTTTTATAATTATCTCAAGATCCAAGAACTTCATAAAAAAGATATTCAACTTCTTAAAATGAAAGAAGATGTCAATAAAAGTCATAAAAAAGTGAATGAAATGGAACAATTGAAGAAACAATTTGAGGCTCAAAATTTATCTATGCTAAGTTTGGAAATGGATAACTTACACTTGACTAAGAAACTTCATGAAAGCCTTGAAGAGATAAGAATTGTAGCTAAGGAAAGAGATGAGCTAAGGAAGATAAAAGAGTCTCACAAAATGGAAAGAGACCAATGCAGAGAAACCTTAAGAAAAATGATAGCTAGAGTGAGTTCAGAATCTTCCCCTATCTAGTAACTATTTATAAGAATCAAGCTTTTTTGAAAAGGGTAACAACAGTTTGTTTTGTTGTTTTTCTGCAAATGTCTACAAGCCATAAAGGGTAATGGGGAAACTACTACTGTAACTTTTCACACAAATAAGAAATACAGGGTTTTTCTTAAAGCCAAAATGTTTTTTAAAGTGTTTCAAAACAGAGAAATAGTATTATTCTCAATTTGCAGGATTATATTTGTAAAAGATTAAATATTCCATTTCACTACTTCTACATGATAAGAGTTTTAGACATGGGCTCTTATTAACAAAGTTAGAAGGGAAAAGGTTAGACAAGATGAATACCAAAAAAAAAATGAAGTTGTTCTCGTATGACTTTTTAAGTTGAATATCAGAAAACAAAATTCAGATAAGAAAATGTATGAAATCTGTAAAGATTCAAGTGGAAAACAACATCATTTGTAATCTCAATAGAAATATCAGACACTTGGGAATCACCTTTATCTTGACCTAACTAAATGTATAGAGATTTAAATCACTCAAAAAAAGATCTTATTGAACAATTAGTTATTCTTTTAGGTCCTATAATATATAAGATAAACAAATGGGAGAAAATATTTTGTTTTTTACAGAAATTCAAAGTGTAAACAGGATATGAGTTTTCTGCTTCCAGGTGCTGGGAGGAATGTATTAGTAGGGCTTGGAACACTGTAGATAGTACAGATGTGTTTGCTAGTGTGTTTAGTTGGCAGCAGTGATTCTGATTCAGACATTTGGAGGAATTGGAACCAGAGATAAATCTAAAACCTAACTTGCAACTATGAATATTAGAAGGACAAATTCTATCTCTAAAAAGTATGTGGTTCTCCCATTTTTTCCCCAATGGGTTGAGGCCACTCATTACAAGACTTAGTAGTGCTATGATTCATTTTCTGACCATTTTTAACATTGCTTTTGAACTACAGGTATAACATTTAATTCCATCATTGAACCTTGATATATAATACATAATTGAAAAAGTATGTGTAGACATTTCCTATGTAGTTATAGTTGACACCTTATTTATTTCTTTGTATCAAAGCAAGACCAACAGAACCACAAAGAAGTAGTAAAACATGAAAAAAAGTTACTGTGTGATGAAAAAGAGCACCCTACAGAAAGCCTGAGAGAAAAGTGCTTTAGGATAAAAGTAAGTGCCCCTGTTTAAATTACAAATGAATATTTGTACCCTTCAGAGGTCGATAGCAGCGATTTTCAAACAGTGTGCAGCAAGAATTTTTAAAAACATGCAATACCTGTCCTAGCTGGATAGTTCAGTTGGTTAGAGCGTCGTCCCGATATGCCAAGGTTGCAGGTTCGATCCCCGGTCAGGGCACATGCAAGAATCAACCAGTGAATGCATAAACAAGTGGAACAACAAATCGATGTTTCTCTCTCTCTACTTACCCTCCTCCTCCCCACCTCAATCTGTCTCTGTCTCCCCCTTCCTCTCTCTCTCTAAAATCAGGTGTGTGTGTGTGTGTGTGTGTGTGTGTGTGTGTATGTTTTTGTTTTATTTTTTAATTTTTAAACATGTAATACCTGACTAATCAGGGGCACTGACCTCTTTTCCCTTAGATTGTCAAATAAAAAAATGACAACAGCCAGCACAACAATCGGTTGTGAATGAATCAAAAGTATACCTTTATTGTTGTTTTTGTTGCTAGATTGGCAAAAAATATACTTTAGGGTAAGCCGTAGAATTTTAATAGTTTATGTGTGCCATGAGATGAAAAAGGTTGAAAATAGTTTGTGAATTCAAGGGAACCTCTGTGGAATGAAAAGATAATGGTCTATATGTTCCTAAACTTTCTAGTGCAGGTATATAGGTGTGCATATACTAGTATACATGTTATAAACAAACCAGTGGGGGGCTTGCGGTTTAAGGCCTCACTGGAAAGATGACATTTGAGTAAATACCTGAAAGAGTTGAAGGATTGAGCCATCCAGGTAACTGCTGGACCAGAGTATAGGCAGGAGGAACAGCAAGTACAAAGCTCCTGTGAAGAGCCTGCCGTGTGGATCCCAGGAACATCACGAAGACAGAAAGCTAGTAAGAAATGAGGTCAGAGAGTTAATGGGGAAGAGGCAGGCTGTTGGGCTTTAAAAAGACTGCATTTTACTCTGAGTCGAGATGGAGATCCATTGTAGACTTTGACCACATGAGAGACATGATCTGACTTACATTTTAAGGGGTAACTCACTGCTGTGTTGAACATAGAGTGGAAGCGGGAAGACCATTTGTAATACAGACAGATAGTGGCTTGGACCAGAGATGTAGAAATGGAAGTAGTGAGGAGTGTTTGGAGTCTGTATATTGAGGGTAAAACCAACAATATTTTCCGTTGCTCCTATTAGAATGCAAGATCACTGAAGACTTGTTTTGTGTTTAGCACATTCCTAATGGGAGTCAACATTCAATATGTATCTTTCTCTCTCTCTCTCGCTCTCTCTCGTTGTTCTTTCAGTTCTTTGTACTGTTTTCTCTTTTCTTTCTGGGGTTTTCTTTTTTGTCTTTGTTCTTTGTTTCCCCTTAGTTTTTTTGTTCTCTCTTTTCCCTCTTCTCACTTTGTTCTCTCTGATTTTCTGTTTCTTATATTTTCACTTTCTCTTAATTTTCTCTTCTCTCTCTCCTTAGTCACTTATTTTATCTGCTACCTCACGTTGCCATTGTAAACATGAGCCAGCATTCAGCCTTGAGCTACAATATATACTACATTGAATTCACTTAAATTTCTCCTCAGACTTTGTAAATGCTCATTCAAATCATGAATGTTCAGAAGACTAAAAGAAAATATCAAATGTTAAAAATGGTTAATTCCGATTTTCTTTGTTGTATTTGCTTAAAATTTTTATTTTCACAATAATTGTGTATTATTTCTATAATCCAAAATCAATAATATCAGTTTCCTTTTGTTGTTTTTTAATCACAATGGTTTTAATTTATTACTCTCCTACAGAAAATATAAAAGCATAAGTTTTGTTATAATTCTAAGGCTAGAACTACTTATTGTTAAATTAGAATCATTTGTTAAGTTGAATGAATTCTAATTTTCTTTAGGAGCTTCTGAAGAGATACTCAGAGATGGATAACCATTATGAATTCTTACATAGATTGTCTCTTGACTTGGAGAAGGAGATTGAAACCCAAAAACAGCTTTCAGTTAAAATAAAAGCAAACCTCTCACTTCCATATCAACAAACCAAAGAGATTCAAAAACTTCTCACTGTCAACCAAAGGTGTTCCATGGAATTCCACAGAGTCATGAAAAATCTAAAGGTAACACCTTTTTAGTAATATCTTTGTAAATATTGCTATAAATTTTGGTAACAAACTTCATTGTATTTAAGTCCAACTTTGCAAGTTGACACATTTGCTTCTTAGTATATGTACTTCTGTCTGAATTAAAGATTACATGGGTCTAAGAATAGTGTGCAAGATTCTCAGTGCACCAGAACCTGGTCATTCAATAAAACCTGAACTCTGCCTATGGGCCCAGACACAGGTATGAATAACATCTCAAATATTTCATAGTCTAATGGGTGAGGCAGATATATAGACAGATAATAGTAAGTGCAGTGATAGAAGTATGTGCAGGTTATAGGACATACTAGGAAAAAAGTTAAAGAAGACAAGACTGTAGTGGAAGACAGACTCATTCAATGAAGCTGGGATGGAGTTCATTTTGCAGATAATGGGGAGCCACTGGAAAGTTATTTTAAGTGGTGGCAGTAATGTGATTAGATTGCGATTTTAGATACTTCACTCTAGATAAAGAAGATAGGAGTTTGCAGGGGAAAAGCCTAGTGGCAGAAAGAAGAGCCAAGAAGCAATTGTCCCGATGGGATATTATGGGTGACTGAACTACTAGTGAAGGTTTCTATAGGGATAGAAGAGATGGAATAAATTAAATATTTAGCAGTTTAAAATCACAGGTCTGTTTGATAGTGGAGGTACGGAGAAAAGTTGAGATTGCATACCAGGATTTGAGTTTAGCCAAGTTTGTGAGTAGTGGAAAGAGGAGTGGGGTCAGGCAGGAAAGGAAGATCAGGTTTTTACTTTGAGATGTTTTGAGGTAGAAATACCTATCAGGGGACATTCAAGAAGAGAAACTCACTAGGCATTGTCAACCAGTGGTCAGTGGTGCCAATTCAGTGCCAATGGAATCCCCAGTTTGGGGTGTGGTGAAGAAGGAAAGTTTATTCAGTGCAAAACAGCTCAATTGTGATACAGCATAGCTGTGAAAACAGCAGAGCTATAGAACAGCTCTGGGGCCAGACCCCTCTCCAGCTAGACAGCTCTGCTCTGCTCCATGCTGTCCCACCCTGCATTGTGTTGGTCTGCTCCACTCTGCTCTAGCAAGACATCTTCAGTGTTTCACCTCAGCCAGGGACATGCAGACTTCAGGCTTCCGTGGAAAGGGAAAGTACTCTCTCAGAGCCAGCAAAGAGTTGGCTTACATGGGCAGAAGTTCCCACCCCTGTCTCATGCCAGTGAGGACTCCAAATCCTCACAGTTTGATTGGTCCAAAAGGCACTGTCCTAATTGGTTAGAATAGAACCACTCTGACTGAAGCTGCACAGCTGATAGGGAAAGCCTCAGTCCTTTTGGTTGAAATGGGATTCCAGGAACTCCTTTATAAGGGCTGGCTCAGATGGCTGAAACGGTGCAGAAACAGGCAGTGCAATGCAGAGTCAGGCAATTCAGTGTAGGCTTCTTCATGAAATGCAATTTGCATGAGAGGCCACTGTGCAAGAATGGCTGCTAGACTTTGCTTTTTAAAATTTATTTGAGCCCAGTTAGCCGCTAGGAGCCCTCCTAGTAGGTGTCCTTCCCCCACCCCACCCCCCACCCCCCTCAAGGCTCACAGCATTTAGCTGTAAGTCTGAAGTTTGTCAGAAGAGTCAGGACTAAAGATAAAGATTTGGGATTCATCAGCATATACATGATGGATAATATGTGTAAATTCACCCAGAAAGCATAATCCTATATAATAAAAGCCTAATATGCTAAGTGTCCAGTCCATTCAACCAATCAAAGCGTAATATGCTAATGATATGCTAAGGTCGCTCAACTGCTAGCTATGACATGCACTGACCACCAAGGGGCAGACAGTCAGCTGGTGGACCAGTTGCTATGATGTGCACTGACCACCAGGGAGCAGATGCTCCAACTGGTAGGTTAGCTTGCTGCTGGGATCCAGCCAATCAGGACTGAGCGAGATGGGCCCCACCAGGGAGCAGGTGCTCCAACTGGTAGGTTAGCTTGCTGCTGGGATCCAGCCAATCAGGACTGAGCAAGATGGGCCAGACATGCCCTGGAGTCCTCCTGTGGTCCCTCCCTGCCTGGCCAAACTCTTGAGTCCCTCCCCTGCCCTGATCATGCACTGGTGGGGTCCCTTGGCCTAGCCTGTGCTCTCTTGCAATCCAGAACCCCTTGGGGATGTCGAAGAGCCAGTTTCAGGCTGATCCTACTCAATGCAGGAGCTGCCCCCTGGTAGTCAGTGCACTCCCACTTGGGGAGCGCTGCTCAACCAGAAGCCGGGCTCATGGCTGGCAAGCACAGCAGTGGTGGTGGGAGCCTCTCCTACCTCCATGGCAGCACTAAGGATGTCCAACTACCATCAGTTGGACATCCCCCAAGGGCTCCCGGACTGCGAGAGGGCGCAGGCTGGGCTGATGGACGCCCCCACTCCCCCGAGTGCACGAATTTTGTGCACCAGGCCTCTAGTAGAGGAATAAAAGCCTTGGGGTAATAAGAGAACTCTGGAAAAGATAAAGTTTCAAGAGCAGTAACAGAAAAGAGAGCAACACATGGGATCGAGGTTGGAAAAGTGAGACAGGAGAGAACCAAACTGAAGTGTGTCACTCAGGTCAGTGAAGGAGAGTAAGTCAAATAACTCAGCAGCCATAATGAACTGAAGAGGTCCCCTCAATTTGTTGATAATAAAGTTCATTAGGACCTTTGTCAGAGCAGTTTTTGTTGATTGGTTAAGGAAGAGGCCAAATTATAAGAGGTTAAGGAATGGTGGCAGTTGAGGAAGTAGGAAGCAAGTGTCTCCTATCTAGTTAAATTGCCCCTCAGGTTCTGATAGTCGTTCCCAAATCCTATCAGATATCCAGAATTTATTCATGAAGTCCATGGACCATATGACATTCAAATTATTGTCACCTTGAAGTCAAATATCTAAATATGCTTGACAAGAAGGTCTTGAGGCATGGCACACCCATGCTGATTACCAAACCAAGATAGGCAGAAGAGGGTGTTGAAAATGAATTATCAGGTATCTAGCTGGAAAACCTGGGTGATTGGTGATATAATTAACCAGAAGGAGCCAATAAAGAAAGTTGGATTTTTAGGAAGGAAAGATCATGTAACCTTTTAAACATTGAATCTGGGGTATTTTTATGATAACAATAAGGTATATCCAGTAGGAAGTCAGAAATAAGGACCCAGAAGTTACTCTTCCAAGATGCTGAGAGGAGAAAGCTGGGGACAGAGAGAGGCTCTTTCCTTTTTCCTCACTTGTCAGAGGATATAGATAAATGCAATGCCATCCACCTTCAGTCTTGAGGGTTTAAAACATCCTCTAAATGTGAGATAAGTTCAATTTCCCAATGTTTGTTTCTCTTCCAGTATGCGTTAAGCAATGTTATAATGATAAAGAAAGAACAGCACGAATCCATCAATAAATTTGAAATGGTTTTCATTGATGAAGTGGAAAAACAAAATGAGCTGATAAGTCAACTTGAGCACCTTCCCCAAGGTTATGATGTATCATCCAGAGAATTAAGGGACCTCAAATTGAGCCAAAAGGTGGATCTACATATTCAGGTATAATTTATTTTAAATGGATTTAATTAGATTATTGAGCCTTTAATTAGATTTTGAGCCTTTTTTAGCAAGTAGGTACCTATTCATGTGCTTAGAGGCATTGTCATTTACCAAAAATTAAAAATAAGCTACAGAATAGCAGCTGGCCAGATGTAAAGAGTACCAAGTCATAGAGGAGCCTCCTTTCAGAACTTGGCTGATTCAGAAAAAATGTAACAATATCAGTAAGTGGGAATTCGTGGAACCCCAGAATAAGTTTCTAAGTGCCATCTAACGCTTCCTAGACCTGTGACTAGGAGTCAGAAAC